TCGGAGGATACGAAAGTGCACTCCTTTAAAGTCTTAAAATGTGACCCTCCAATATGCTTACCTGTATTGACGACACAATTAGTAGATGAAGTGGGTCGGAGGGATTTGCTTTTCCAAAGCCTATTTGAATTGTCCCGTATGGAAGAATGGAGAAACTAGTTGCTTTAACATCATCTAAAGTGGCCAATTTTAGGGACATGGAGTTGTTAAAACCAGATAACTGGGTGAATATCAATGGCCTCTCAGCAATCTTACATGAGTTGAACTTTCTCCAAGCTTAACACTTAATGCGTGGAATTTATCACCCCATTGAATGGCAGCAATGTTGACCCTAGAGTGCATAGCTTGTCAAACCCTTTTAAATCATACTTCGAGACTTACTGCTTCTACCTTTAAATAGCTCAAGGTATTACTTCGTTAAGACCTGAGGCTCGAATAACAGACGTGTCTCAACAGCACTGCATTTTCAGGTGGCTCGATTATTCACTTGGTTCGGCATGTTGGCACTTTCAGTGGCCATCGCAACTCTGCTATGCTTCGGTCTATTCTACCTCGGTTTTATACAATCGCACCACTTTCGGCGACTCTTGCAGAAGACGTGCCAACCTCACACGGTTTCAAACCCCCCAAAGGAAAGACATACCGCATTGCCTTCAGCGATGCACAATAGCCCACTATCCCCCTACCAAATACCTTCGAGTCGAGTGCAGCAACAGCAAGGCTCCCGATTAGCGGCACCCGTTCCATTCATAAAGGAGTATTCCGACCAAAGAGCAACCTACTTTGAGGAGCTGTCGAAGGTTCATGATTCAATTGCTGAGTGTGAAGAGGTGACGACCGAAGCCCAAACTTACCGACCCATACCGCTGCCGAGGAGTGGCAAGCCGTATTTATCGCCCAAAGTCAATATTGCTAATAGAATCAGCAAAGGCGGGAAAGAAGAGGAGGAGGAAGGGGAAGAGGGAGGAGGAGAATAAATCAAAGCAAAAGATGAAGAGATGTCAGAGCACCACAATTCAGACCATGACATTTAATCGTCAAGTCCAATTTTTCGACATCTCCTTTAATACATAAGTCCTTGCTGTATCATTTGTTTCTTGTCACGTAATTTTTAATGTATTTGTTTAAGTTGAGAAGCTGTACGTAACCCCACCGGCTGCCTTCTCATATGCCACCGACTAGCTGCTGATTGGTTAAACAAAATCTGCAGCTACAGCGAATCAAGGAAAAGAATGGCCTGAAGACACCAACAAAGAGGTTGCATTTGATTAGGCAAATTGATAACACACTACCACTGCTGCTTTCAGATTTTCCGGAAGTGCACGCTATTTAATTTGAGATTAACGGATTTTCCGGATCTACAATTACTGCCATTTTTTTGTGTTCAGCAATTTACACATGCAAGAACTGAGAAAGTGAATGGTCCTATGCCTTCCTACTGTGGTCTACGTGTCGTGTTGTGTTAAATGCTACCACAAATCGCTTTTCGAATTGTCGTGAGCGCCTCTATTGAAACCGGAACCACAAATTTTGCTGAACGGATACTAAAATGACGATTTACTTGCGAATCGTTTGAGGTAAAGGTGCACCTGCATGGACTGCTTTGATTTAAGAATGCGAATGACCACTCAAAACTGAGATGTTGAGCATATTAGTATGGTGGGTGTCGGTGATATACTCCCTGGAAGTGCAAAATGTGCGTCCATTGAGGGAGTTGTGGCCAGTTTGGTAAACCTTAGTTG